AACAAATGGGTTCTGTGAGCTCTGGCATTTTTGGAAACATGGTCCACTGAAAACTATCAGTCAAAAAATAGAATATTGTGCCTGCATACTACCACAAAAACAGAGCATCTTCTATCAGTTTGCTCCCAACTCCCCCATTCTTTTTCTTTTCCATCAAATAAATCAAGTATGTTAATGGAAAAACATTAATTCTTCAATAAACAAAGATAACTGCTCTACTATTACATACAGTGAGTTCATTGTTGTCTAGAATATGCTATTAGAAGACATCTACTTAAGTAAATCCTTTTGTTGTTCAGTCTAGAATCTTTTCAGTGCTATCCTCTAATATTTTATCACTAGCTACTCTAACAAACAAATATAATAACTAACATTCTCTACCTATCCTTCAAAGTGAATAAAACTGGAAGGAAAAAAAAAAGAGATAATCGAGACCAAAAGCAATCAATTAACACTGTTGCAAAAGCCTTAAATGAGTTACGTTGCAGGTTTTTAAGCCAATAAACATAAAACTGGAAATGAAGACCTAAAAATCATGACATGATGGCATGACCTGATGGCAAGTACAGTGACTTTTATCTTCTAATGTCATCTTCCTAAAAACATGTATGAAAGATCCCTATTCCTGGCCTCTCATTGAAAAAGGGTTTATAAAAGCTGGTATTTAAATACATACATTATATATTGGAAATTATTTCTAGTGGCTTCCCAACAATGATCTATTAACCATTCTTAATACTCTAAGGTAACAGTAGGCAACACTTGCTGTTCAAGCTGTACATTCTGACAACCAGAAAACGCACATCTTATAGGCAATAACTTTTAATAAGACTCCCAGTATTAAAAGAACAAAAACAAAAAGACTAAGAAGATGAGAGGACAAGTTTTCACTGTTACCTAAAGCATGTGAACTGATACTGTGGCTGCTTTGTCGAGATCTGGACTTTGTAGGTGTGTGGATAGAAGTCTCGACAAGTCCCGATAAAGAACCTGTATTCTGCTTCAACTCCAAAGTAGAAAGTTCTGTAAGACTGGATGGTACTGGAAGATATAGCTGCTTATTACGCACCAAAGGACTTAATAATCTTTGGTCTCCTGTGCAGGGAACAAAATCAAACCACAGACTTGCATCCACTCTGTAAGTTGCATAACATCCCTAGAAATCAACCCATCCTGAACAGCTGTTCATCTTTATTTTTTACCAGAAAGAATAAAGAATTGTCATAGTATTTAAATTGATCTGCTACCCAGTCAATCACTGTTTTCATAAGACAGAGAAGCAGCAGTGTGTCAAGAAGTGTTGTGTGTCGAGGCTCTTTCAGGCTTCAGCACAGTTAGCAGTGGTATCACCAACTATATTGCTTTTCAAGGCCAAAAGCACACAAGCACAATAGGAAAACCCTTTCTTCGTATCAGGGTTAGGAATTAGAAACTAATTTTGTTAAACACACAATAACAAGTTACAGTAGAAAACTGCATGGCTTCTGAGGGAATGTATCGTAGGGCACTCGACAGACTGTGGCTTTACAGGCAGAAGATGTCATTCCATGGGCAGAATGAGGGACAAAAAGTGATGAGAAAAACCATCTGCATTAGGCAGTAGAAGGATAACAGGTTCAGGACATGACAAAGCAGTAATTATATTGAATTACTGTAACCAATTACGAAAAGGTGTCACTCATATATTCTAATCATAATTCAGTCTTTCTTTACTATTCAGTTAATCAAGAGAGATACAAAAGACAAACAAACCAAACTCTACTGAATATCACCTTGCCTTCCCAAATAGTTTTTTTCCAGATCATGCTGCAGAAGTCTACTGTGGAAAGATGACTGTTCTTTATTTATCCTGAATTCAAACTGTAACAAGACAAATGTTAAGTTATTCAAAGCAGATGACATCTTTAAACAAACACAACCTTAGTTAACAACTGATTTTTTCTAAAAAAACCTTGCAAACACTTTAAAAAAGTAACTGTTCCAGTAAAACCAGTAAAAATTCTATTGAAATACTATGATTGAACAGTTTCACTGTTGGAAACCAAAAGAAAAACATTAGAGTTACCTTGTCATTCATCTGCAGTAGATTAAATAAGGGGGAAAAAATCCCAAACCACCACCCATTAAGGAATATCACAATTACAGGAGCAAGAAGTACAGATGAAAGCATAAGAAATTGTATATAAAGTTTACAACAGGCTATAGCACATCCCCATGGTTTTACTTTGTGTATCTTTAATAGGATGAAATAAATAACCAAAATACTATAAGGTATTATATTAAAACATATCAACATATTGTTACTGAAAAGGTAATTCTTATCTGAAAGCCTACAAAACCTGGCTGCACAATATGACTGCAATAATTACTGTAACTGTTACAGAGAAAGTAATAATTACTGGTTTGCTTTTATCTGCTATTGATGAGGTCTGGATAACCAGCTGAAGACCACAATTATTAACCTGCAAGTCAGAAGACACAGATTACATTTTTCGAAAACACAGAAAGATCTAATATTTTTAAAGATGTAGGCATTTACAACAGCAAAATATCCCAAGACAGAACTATTCTGAAGAATACATCAATTACACTACATAACACTAGATAATTTATTTTTTAAATTATTTTAGTTTCAAAAATGTACTGAAAGCATGACTTTCATGGCTATGTTATCCTCATTACAAGGAAAGCAAGTGCTTACGTTTAAATATGAGATTTTTAATTTTTTTAAGGCAAAACGTACTAGTCTTTAATAAGATTTCTATGACAAAATACAGCACCTACCTTCTAAATAATCAAAAGGTCTAACAGAAATATTTAGCCAAGTGACTTATATATCTACTTCCCAGCGAATACCAGGAGGCATACAAGTAACACAAGGGAAGCCAGTCACGACACAGCGAACTCCCGCCGCTCCACTTGCAGCGCTGCCCTTATGGGGCTCCACCAGCCGCCAAACCTCTTCCCGCCAAGGCCCGCCCTCAGCCGCTCTCAGCCCCAGCCCGGCCGGCCACACTCGGCCCCACAGCACCGGGGCAGGACCGCGCCCTCAGAGACGCCGCTACCCCGCCCAGGGCCCACCCTTCTAGGGAGCGACAAGGCTCGCCCAGAAGCGGCATGTAGCCGCGGGACACCACCGGTCCGGACCCCGCACACCAACGGCCGAGGAACGGGAGGAAAAGAGATGGTTGTCACGCATCGCCCCCTCACAGCGGCACCTACCGGGCCGGGCACAGCCCGAGGGGCCCTGCTGGGCCGGCACTTGCTGGGCACCATGCGAACCTCAGCACCTCACACCACCTCACACCTCCGCGACAGCCACCGCCCCTGTCGGAAATCGCGCCGCCGTTACCAGGGGAACAGCCGCTTCCGGCCCGCTCTCGGCAAGCCTCACCCCTGCCTCACTTGCAGGGAAATGGCGGGAAGCCGTGAGGCGGTGGAAGGGATCACGACCATCCTGCTGTCACCGGTGCCTGCTCCGGCGGCGATGCTCGGCATCCGCCGCCCGGCGAGGCGGCCTCAGGTACGGGACTGAGGGTAGGGTTCGGGAGGGTGCAGAGCAGGTCTCTCACGGGCGTGGCGGTTCCTCCCGACCCCCACTAGTAAAAAGACGAATACGGTTACATTTGTCTGAATTGTAAACGCAAGTGACTGTGTATGAAAAGGCAAGAAGCCGGACGTACCGTCCAGGTTCCTGTTCTGCATCAACTTGCCACGAAATGGGAGGCTGTGTGTGGTGAGCCTGGGCTCTCGGTCACCCGCAGTGTGCCGAGCCCAGCGGCTCCGGGTCAGTGCCTCAGTCCTGGGCAGGGCTGACACGGCAGTTCTCTCTGTGGCAGCCCTGCCAGACCCACAGGTGGGTCGTGGACGTTTTTAATAAACGCAGCAAGAGATTAGTGGCTGGAAAAGCCACGGCGTGGCTGTGTATGGAAGGGCTGTGAATTGCCCACGTTAATTCTCTCAACGTTATTAATGTACTATAAACATTGACGAGGCCAAAGACCAATTCTGTTGCAGTGACCACTGGTAAAGCAAAAAACCCCGGATCTAATGTCCTTCCTTATAAAATCAAGTTCACTTAACCTTGACAGAAGGATTCATCAGGTGAACTGTCTCTCTCACTTACTTTAGCTGTAGCATAAAATAGTTCTTTGCTCATAGCAGTCCTGACCTTGTTCCTACCTATGGAGGCAAACAACTCCCATGAACTCAAATACAAAATCAGTCCCCAAATCCCTGTATGCACCATCTCATAAAATGCATATTTTTTGTGTTTGTATTTCTGCTCCCACCGAAATCAATACTGAAGTGATGTGCTACCCAAGGCTTATTACAAAATGCTGTTCTATTAGCAGAGAATTAAGAGATGTGGTTAGTGATGGGTGTAAGCGTATTTCATAAACAAAATATTTCGTTGCTTAAAGCATGTTAAAAAATAAGCCAAACCAGTGAGGCAGCGTGTTAGTTCCAGTATGTGTTCATGCCAGCACATCTGACTCATGAGGACTGTTTGTCACAGTGATGGGAAGAACTGGCGTCAGAGTGCAGTCTCACTTTTTTGTCCATCCAGACTTTTAAGACAAAAACATTGCAGCAATACAGTGGAGTACATTTCAGATAATTTGTACAGACAGATTGTACAGACAAAACCAAGGATGCCATAAACAAAGTGATGACTTAAAAAACCCAACCGGCATTTAGCAGTTTAGGTTCAGCTAATATTGAAAGAGCAAGCTTCCCTGACTGAAGAATGAATACTTACACTGTAAATTGAAATGCTTTAGATTCTAATCCTGAAAATGTGAATGCTGATTTCACTTTAAAGAGCTGAAACAGTTCATTGAAATATAGTGCAGTAGTTTTACACTCAAATAAATCAATATATGTTTGAGAAAAGGGGCCTCTATTTTAATAACTATACAGAGGAATGGTTTTATTCTGTGTAAGTACCATACAGAATTATGGAGAAGTTCTCTACCAAAATAATGTATCCACTCATGTCTTTGTTCTCTCGGTTTTCTTATTTCCAAATCTTACCTTAAGCGTTTAAAACTACACCCTAGCATCACCTTTTTGAATTTCTTAAAACGTGACGCTCTAGTCCAGACATAGAAGTGCAGCCCCGCGGCTGTACAGGGAGATGCGAACCTGGGACGCAGCTCTCGGGTGCGGAGCCCGTTGTTTTCTGTTGAAATAGAAGCAGTCCCAAGTCAGTGCTCAGCGGTAAAGACTCCAGCTGGGCGGCTTGCCCGGGCCCTGCGGGCAGCGTCGCTGGAGGAGGGACGGACCCTCCCGCTGCCGCGCCGGGGAGCGCCCGGGGAGCGGAACCGGGAGCACCGCCCCAGCGCTGCCGCCTCTTCAACAGGAGAGGACCGGGAGAGGAGGGGAGGCGGGTGACGGCTGCTGCAGCCCAGGGTATCGCTGCTGCGCGGCGGCGGCGGGCTGAGCCTGAGCGCCATGGCCCAGCGACAGCCGGCCACCACAGGGGACCCCGAGGCGGCGGAGACCGGGACTGGGGACGCCGGCTCGGAGCTGGCAGCGGGGAATGGCCCCGTGCAGATCCGAGTGTCAGTCCTGGCTGCCGGAGAGGAGGAGGAAGCGGAGGAGGCAGAAGGGGAGGACGGCAGCGAGTCGTGCCCGGCGGCGCGGGGCGGCGGCAGCTGCAGCGAGGAGGACTCGGGGCGGTGCGGGCGCTCCAGGTGAGCCCGCCGGGGCGCGGGCGGGCACCAGCGGGGAAGGGGCCCAGCGGCGAAAGCGTTTCCCTGCGGGCCTCGTTGAGCGGGGCCGGGGCCGCCGCCGCCAGCACTCACGTAACGGTGCGGCCGCAGCTGATGCAACGGCAGTGGGGATGGGTGGGAGACGCTGCAAGTCCTCCAGCGGTGACGCCGGCCCGCCGCTGGGCGGGATATGTCCGCTGCGGCGGTGATTCCCCCCCAGGCTGCGAGTGCTCACCCTTCCCACGGCAACAGCCGGGGCCGGGCTGCGGGCGGCTGCCCGGAGCTGCGGGAGGAGCGGGATATGGCTTCCACTCAGCGGGAAGTGCCGGGCTGTGGTGTCCTCGAGATTTCCATTTCACGGCCTTTGAAAGGGCTTTCGGCTTGGTTGGTTGGTGATGTGTTTTGCGTTGGATTTTGTTTTTCTTCAGTTGAATTAAGGCATGGACAGCCAGATCCGTTCGGTGGTTTTGGAAACAAGTTGTCGAGGCATGAAATCAAGATCAGCTTAAATGCAGGAGAAACTACCACTTCATAATCGACTCAACACTTTGCTTACTGATAATGCCAATAGTGCTGTCTGTATTTAATAAGTTGCAGTTGGTGATTACCAATGCCTAAAGTTGCTTTGATGCCTACTAGTATATCTTACTTGTAAAAGGCACTATCTAGGATAGAGACAGTTGGAACTTAATGCTGGAAATCACATTTCCATATAGTGCTTATTAATACAATACCTTATTCTTTTGGAGACTTAGCAAAATCATGTCAAAAGGTTAGACCCTATCCAGAAAATATATTGTTTGTGACTTTTGATATTTAAAACCCCAAATCTATTCTCCATACAGATATGTTTAGTTTCTTGGGTAGCCAGATGAGTCATGGTGTTAAAAGGTTGGTTTTCAGTCTGTCTTGTTTTGACAAGCATATCTATCACAAAGCTCGGAACAAAGTAAATGAAAGTTGTAAATGAGGCTTTTTGTGTGTGTGTCAGTGTTGACTGACATTGCTTTATCAACTACTTTTGCAGTAGAGTTCATACCCTAGAGGTATTACCAGTTGTTCATTACTATGAATTAATACGAAGCTAGTTACAAATTTCCACATTTGCTGTAGGTGGAACTTCTGCAGAGTACTTAGTGAGGACTGTTGTAAGAGCTGATCTTTGCAAACATGCGTTACAAATACATGCAAATTCTCTAAAAAAACCCTGTAAACTCCATCCTGAATCAAAGGTCAGCTTTTCTTAGCAGAGTGTGGATACATAAAAATGCCTAAATGTTATAAATACTAGTTCTGAATCCATAGTGAATGAAAACGAGAAGTAGTACGGTCAGGGAATATAATGAATGAAAAATAAACACTTAACCTTGTTCTTTCTTCCTTTGGAAACCAGCATGCACAGCTCCATTAGCAGTTGAATATTTTTTTTTTTACTGTCTTAATCATAACTTCATCTGTTACCCTCCACTTCCAGCATTGTCACATAAATCATTTTTTTTGCTTTCTCACTCTTGTCATTTCTTTGAACTGTACCTGTCAAGTGGCTAGGGAGAATTTAACAAGGAGAATTCTAGGATTGTGTGAGTGAATATACATGTATACCCGAATGTATTGCCTTATCATCAGAAGAACCATTATAATGTAAATAATTCATTAGCATCAAAAAGCCCGTTCCCAGAGAGCTGCTTGTCACACCTGGGAGCACATTCCCTGCGCAGAGCCCATTGACCTGAACAACATCTTCATGTGTATCAGAACCACCTGCCTAGGCAGTGTTTGTGCCTTTGTCCCAGCATGGGCAGCACATCTATCAGCATTACAATCACAGTCTACAGTTTGTCTCCAGGACAAAATTGCCAGAAGTCAAGGGAATTCAGTAGCCTGCATCCTCCCTGCAAGAGTGCCCTCAGAGGGGTCTAGTGTGATGCCTGCTCCCTTGTTTAATGATTTCACAAGCTCTGCAAAAGCCATTTAAGACAATTTGGGGGAAATGTGTGGCTCCTCCTTAAACAGAAGCTTTCATGATGGCCTCACAGCAAAACTAGACTGCAAACAGCTTTAAAAAATGACTGCCTTAAGCTGAACTCATGATTATGGATCTTATAGTAACAGTTATGGCAGTAGTCTGTGGGTGAACTATTTGCTTCACTGCTAGATGACAATTTAAGTAGTCATTTCTATTTCAGCAACAGACATGTTGCTGTAACTGTCTGTGCCAAGAAGTTTATCTCAAATTCGTGGCTGCACTGTCTTCTTTTTTTTCTGAAGAGGATGCTCAGTAGTGCTCCATTTCACACAGATACCTAGGACAGCATGATGGGAGGGGGAGAGAGGAAATGAAAATGACTTCTTAGCAACCTGCAGATGTGTGCATATACAGCTTTTCATGAGATATCTGAGCTGCTGCTGCACCAAAATCCTTAATTTGAAACATACAGTTTAAGCCCCTTGGTAAACTGCTAGTTAAGTTACTCTGTCGCTCTGGAAGTCACCTGGAAGACGATAGTCCTGTCAGTCTGTCTTATTCCCTGGATACTGGCTCCTGCATTCGTGCAGTGAAGAGACTTGAAAAATCATGATTGCATTAAATTGGAATTCACCGGTAGGTGACACTACTTACGAAGCACATCAAGGTCTAGTCTACATTTAATAGCGTCATACTGAAAAACAAAACACTGTCGTGAGAAGAACTTTGTGTAGTACCAAGTGCTTGTGCACCTGCATTTCATGTTTTGGCATAGGATTTAAGTTGGCAGTGTTTTCAAGCTGCTAGTGTATGTCTCATTGTTCTACATTGAGATCATCTTTTGGAATGAGCTCAGGAACTTGACTCCTTGTGCTGACTGGAAAGCTGCATCCTCTGAGCTAGCCTCCTGCCTCAGATGGATAGGGTGATACCTGTTCAGTGCCTACCTATAAAGTAAGTTGGAATCAGCATTACAGTTACATCTTTTAATTTTAAAATAGTAATTGAATCCACTAATATAAGATGAAGATCTGTTAATAAAATTATATTTAACTGTTTTTCAGTGGTGGGGAGAATGATGACGACTCTGACCAGAACTGGAAACCACCAGAAAATAACCTGATCCAGAAGTTAATAGCACAGATTGAATATTACTTCTCAGATGAGAACCTTGAGAAAGACGCCTTCCTTTTAAAGCATGTCAGAAGAAATAAGATGGGCTATGTCAGTGTTAAACTCCTCACTTCTTTTAAGAAAGTAAGCTAACGTTTTAAGTCTGAAAGTGCCTTGTGTAAGCCTGATGAATCTAAAACATTAGGAGAAATGAAATGAAAGTAACTTATAGAGGCAGTTTTACTGTCTTTAGCTGCTTCACAGGAGTTGATTCAGCTTTGATGTGTTGGCTAGGTTTGTTCTCATGCAGAACTTTAATTGCTGAATGCATTCATAATCGCCATGGGAAATCACAGACTTTTAAGCAACTATGCTTTTAAATTATTGTTCTGGGAAAGAATAGAGTATAGTAAAGAGGACACTGGATAAAAGACATTTCTAGGAAGCTAAGTAATCCTGGTAAAGTCACTCTTGTCTCTGAGAAGGGATGGTGAATCTGACCTTTGCAATAGAAACTATCTGGTAACTGAAGTCATTTAAAAGTGAGGTGGGGTTTATTTATTTATTATTCTTTTACAGTAGGCACCTCTATGTGAACGTGTATGTAACTGCTTCCCAGTGTTACATTAGAAACATTTTGTCAAGATTCTCTGACAGTTTTGCAGAGCCATTCAACCTAAAAAATTTAGGCACTCCCAATTTCTTCAAACCAAACAGATTATACCATTAACAGATAAACTCTTCAAAACAGTCCTTGGAGAAGTTTGGGGTTTTTTTTTAAACTGAAATTTTTGAAGGAGGAAAAATTAGTTCAATAAATTAAGGCCTTAACTTGGAAATACTATTTGTTTGGCAAATTTTGCAAAATAAAACCCACAGGACATGCATATTGGTCACAGTTCAGACCTAGATATGAAGTGTCTGAACATGACTTGAGCAGGGTTTAAGATGAAGTAATGATTTTGGTTTCTATTTCACTAAATTCAACAGGACATGAGCTTTACAGGAGCTCATTGATGCCAATTATAGCAAGAAAACAGTTTGGTTTTGCCAGTCAAGTGTGCTACATGGAACTTAAATCCAGGTTCCTGGACTGCCTATATGGTTTTGCATCTGCCTTAGACTTTCTGTAGTTAGTTTGACTGGGTTTGATCACTTGCACTGCTTAACGCACGTTTGTCTTCAAGGTGAAACACCTTACCCATGACTGGAGAACCACAGCCTACGCACTGAAGTACTCGGACTCTCTTGAGCTCAATGATGATAACAAAAAGGTTAGAAGAAATACTCCAGTTCCAGTGTTTCCAAGCGAAAACCTCCCTACCAGGATGTTACTGGTGTATGATATCCACATGGTTTCTGAACTGCAGGCTCTTAAACAAGAAAATGGATTCATGCAAGAAAGGATAATGGAGTATCTCCTCAAGGCCTTTGTAACTTTTGGTGTAATTTCATCAGTTCGTATTCTCAAGCCTGGTAAGGACCTACCACCCGATATCAGGAGGGTTAGCAGTCGGTACACCCAACTGGGAACTCAGGAGTGTGCAATTATAGAATTTGAAGAAGTAGATGCTGCTGTACGTGCTCACGACTTTATGTGTGCTGAAAAGAAAGAGACCGGCATGAAAGTTGTCCTAATAGGCATGAAACCTCCAAAGAAAAAAGTTCCCAAAGACAAGAACTGTGGTGAAGGTACCAGCAAGGGTCTTAAGAAGGTTAGATCCCTTAATAAGAGAGTTGAGGAACTTCAGATAGTTGGTGATGAATCTTCAGCAAACAGCTCTTCTGACCCAGACAGTAATCCTACATCACCACTGTCAGGACGCAAAAATACTGCAACAAGTACTACATGTAATTTGAGCCCGGTCATTCACCCAAATGACCGCTTGAGTCCTAGCGTGTCACCCAGAACAAGTCCTTGGAACAGTCCATCTTCATTAAGAAAAGTAACCAAAAAGTCTCCTCTGGCTGAAGACCGCAAGCTTAACCCAAGCACTAGCCCTGAAATTCCAAGGAAGTGTACAGATTATTCCTCGGATAGCAGTATCACTCCTTCTGGTAGCCCCTGGGTACAGAGAAGAAAAGCTCAAACTCTTTCACAAGAGAAGAGTCCCATCACTAGCCCCATATTGGTTCAGAAAATACAAAAAGCAGATGGTCTGCCTGTAGGGGTGCTGCGGCTGCCTAAAGGCCCTGATGGCACTAAAGGATTCCACAATGGATGTGAAAGAAGGAAGGCTATGAAGGAAGCATAAATTATTCTTTAAAAACAATTTTACAAGTCAGGCAACAGCTTTTGTTCAAGCCTGGTTAAGAATTGTCATTTGAATGAGTGAATTAAGTCAGTATTTAACTGTAAAAGATTTTGTATTCATACAGAGACTTAATCATTTGTATATTTGCGTATTCACTTCACAGAATCCCAGAATAGTTGAAGTTGGAAGGCATCTCCGGAGATGAAATCCAGTCCACCTCCTTTGCTCAAGCAGGGTCCACAACAGGTCACTTACTTAGGATTTTGAGTATTTGCAAGGATAGAAACTCCCCAGCCTGTTTGGGCAGTGTGTGGCTATGTTCAACCATCCACACAGTAAAAAAGTGTTCTGTTCAGGTGGAACTTGCTGTGTTTCCATTCATGCCCCTTTTCCTGTTACTGGCTATAGCTAAGAAAAGCCTAGCTCCATCTTCTTCATTCCTTCCCATCAGATATTAGAAACATTGAGATGTACCCCCTGAGCCTTCTCCAGGTCTCTCACAGGAGAGACACACCAGTCTCAATGATCTTGTGTGCTTACCTAATGCAGTGCCAATACCTGCATTACTAAGTTTTTAATGTATTAGTTTGAAATTCCAAAATACAGAAACAGGCATATAAATTATTAATGTAACTACATTGTTTGCGAAGCTATAATCCTGACGAGCAGTGTGTAAATACAGTTGAGTGGTAGTATTATGATAAGCTGTGGTATGTTACCAGTCTAATCATAAGGAGTAGAAGTCTTGAAGACTGTCTTGGAAAGAACTCTGAGAAACTCACAATGCAGTAAGCAGTTGCTCCCTGCTTGCTTACGTCTCCAAAGACAGCACTGTTTAGTAGGACCAAAGTGTGTATTTTCATGCAATGTGAATAGAGACTCTGAAGCACTAGAGACTATTCTCTAAGTGTTCTCTCACATAATCAGATGGAAATAAACAAAAGTATTAACTTGGTCTAGATCTATTTTGTTTTCTTTAAAAATAAGTTGAGCTGAACCTGAATAGATACTTAAACCTCATCTTACACCATGTGAAATTCTAGAAATAGTTACCTGAACTTCCCACTGTGTTCAGCGGGCTAGGGAAGAAGAGGTGCTCTGCCATTACTGATGGTGATGCTTCACTCCAACTGTATGTCACAGCCCTTTTTATATAATATTGTAAACTAAACAATGGTTATGTCACTATTAACTGAATTTAATAAGCAGGCTCAGCAAGAAGTACTTAAATGAAAATTTAAGCCAAAGAAGGAATCTCTGAGCTTTACTTATAAAAGTTACACTCCTGAAAAACAGCCCAGTGATAATAAGAAGGTAACGTCCCAGCTTCTAATGGACAACTTGGGAACTGTGCACAACAAAGCTCTAATCAGACAATGATTCTTCATTCCAAAACTTTGCACAACCTTTCCAGATTTCATTTCCACTCTAAACATAACATTTCTGCAGTGTAAATAACTGCACTGACACACAGTTAGAAACCTATATACAGAAATCCCCCTGTTCTGTGTATCATTCTTTAGACACTCAAATATATTTCCAGTTCTTTTACTTTACACAAATAGAATCCTCCAGGTTACCTCCTGAGTTCCATTATCAGCCAAGACACTATAAATACTGTTAAACACAAAGTGGTGATCTGCAGGTACGTAAGTGACAGGTAAGTCTTCAGGAGAGTAATTCTGTAACTCTAGTTTACATACAGCACCACTGTTTCACTATGTATTTAGAATACTTGCTTCATTAATAATCAAAAGAGGGGTTTTTAATTATAAAACTGTACAGCATCCATGTGTCATCTTGTACCAACCTGTCTGGGGACACTACTACACCTAATGCAAGGCTGCATTTTGGAGACACACAGAAGTCAATTAAATGGAAACATTGAGAACCATATGTAATAGTACATAATGTTAAAAATCTTAAGACACTGTATGCTTGCAGGGGAAAAAGGAAGCTGAAACCAACAGCATTTACCAGGGCTATGCTGTCTGACTGAAAACATCTACATGTCATATTCAACATGTAAACGTAATAAATCAAACTAACTTCTATCTAACAGTTTGAAACTAAAAATCTGATCAGACAGTAATGATGAGTCAAAAGCTTTACACTTGGTAGATAACAGAGGATGATTCTTTAGTAAATAAAAAGGATGTTGACAGCTTTTCTTCACTGATGAGCCAGATACGGTCTATTGAAGAGTTATTAGAAGGCCACAACATAAAAAAATATTCTAATACTTACAGGAGAATGCCATCTCACTTGAGTGTAGGCCCACTTACCCAGAGACTGAGATACACACGCTGCAGCACTCCAGAAAGCTGTGGAACCTGTCTTCATAGAGCTTTAGCTTTTCAGTAAGGAACAAGAATACATTTACCATTTTTGTAGAAGGAAAATATAGATAAGCTTGATCAAACAGCAAGTGATAATGTGACTTCTTCAAAGGTAATGTGATCAGTGAAACTATTTGGAATGTAATTTAAAGTACTGTTTACAGATAGTGAAAAATCTTATTCTGAGGTCAGACAAGAATATATAAAATCACAGTTCTGTTTCACATAATTTTCCCTCCATCTCCAAAAGAAATTATTTCTGCTTGGAAAGCATCCTATGGCAAGCTCAGATCACCACGCACACATATCACCTTCTTTCCTAGCCACAGCTTTTGTGACATTGTACTTATGTTCAGTATTCCTTGTAGAGCCCAGAACATTTGCTTGTTTAATTAATCAATGTAAAAATATTCTAGGTATGAAATATCTTCTCTCTGGATACTTTCTACACCAGGCAGCAATGTCTAGTGTTGGACACTGTCGCATGGGTGTCTTCATATATATTTCAATACCTCAGTATCAAAATACAGATGCAGAGACACACTGAGTGAACCTGTCGCTGCCCGCACCAAGAAGCACACCATGTCTGCTGCCAGAACAGGACAGATCAGAGGTGATGGTGCCTGCAGACAGCAGGTCTGCTTCAAGAGCTCCTACTTGCTAAATCCTGCAGCAGGTTACACATGCTTCTCTTCTGCAGATCTCAGATACACATACACTTGAAGCAGTGGTTCTGAAAACCTGGGAGATTAAAGCTGGGTTTATTGGGGTTTTTTTCCAGGAAACAAAGAGCAAACGTAGGAAGCATTTTCAGAATTTGAACATTTTTCCCAAGTAACTCACAATTTACCAAGGCATTCAAGATTCCTAACTTTACCTAAATACTGCCAGTGCTAAGTGCATCGATAGACACTGCCACACCTGCTACACGATCCACAGGAGCCTTCAGTCATACATGTACACCAATTAAAACAGATGCAATATTTTATTCCTTTGGGACAAACACTTCATTCTCCCTGAGTTTGTTTCTGTCTTCATGTTTAATCAATGGCTCAAAACTTTAATTTAAAACCAATACAATACACAAATATACACACCATACAGACAAACTGCTTGGCATAATGTTACCAACAGAACATTTTAAACCCTATCAGCTGTGCCTGCAGTTTTCTCCAGCTCCCAGATGTTTGTAGGATGATGATATATTTCAACTAAGAACATTCTGAAAAGGCCATATCAACTGGACAGAAAAACATGGCAACACACTTGAATTTTAGTCTCTAGTTGAGAGCCCTTCCCAACTACTTAACATTGACTTCTGTTCTCACAAAGGACATATTCCTGTTGTCTTCATTCTGCACAGGCACAGTTTATGGGATGGATTTATAAACCTGAAGTCTGAATAAAGCTGGGAACGTCAGTAAAAAATGCTTATTATGTAAGCTAATACACCCAACCTGTTTAGAACAGTGGTTTGATCAATCAAACAGAGTTGGCTTCAGCCTATCCCATTGTTCCCTTAGCTTTGATTTTATTACATCTGAAGCAAAGATATAGTTGATGGAGTCATAGGAAAGATCCCACATCTGCGATCGAGTCAGATTAAATGTATTCGCAACCAGCTCGTATTCTTGCGATAGATCTGTTGCAAAGACGCCTTTATCATCAGTCTGGAGTTAAATTGAAAGAAAAGAAAAAGGTTGAATTAATGCCTCTACATCAAAAAGGATTTTTTTCTACACATTCCAAACCAGTTTATCTTGATGATGTACATTTTATCCCACAGTTCTTTCATCTGTTGGTAATTATTTCATACTTTATTTGCCTTATTTCCACTCAAAGTTAATGAATTATTCAATCATACAAGAAAAGTTCTTAAAATGATGGCATAATTTATCAAGAGAATAGGGATTTGCTATTAAAACTGCTAGAAAAATGGCTATCAAATGATGCATACGTTCAAGCTATGCCAATATGTGCAGGTCTCCTTATTCCTCTTTCCCCTTGCCTCAGATCTGGGCACTAGAGCATACTCTGTATTCCTGTATCTTCAGGGGAGGAATTGTCTCACCCTCTCCACTTGGTATCAGCTGGTACAATTTCTTGATACTGACTGAAGCACTAGGCTAGCATCAAAAACATAGGATCGAAAGCCACCTAAAGATTATTAATCTAAAAGGAACAAATTTGGATTATTTTAGGGTTAATGAGATGATCCATTTGAAACTCAGAGTACTTATGTCCCCATAGAGGAGAATGCTAACTATATCCTGTTAAACATAAGATGCTGTAGTATCTTCTTCATTACTCTTGTTCTTATAGGCCTTTATGTGCTGGTAAACACAAGTCATGTTTTCTTGAATGACTTCATTGGTTATCTAAACTTTTCACAGCTGAAAATCTCTGAAGATAATCTCTAGTCATGAATTATTTTTCACCTACTATAACACAGTTAAACTCAATAGTAAATACTTCATACAACAAAGGGCTGAGGCTGATTGGAATAGTAAACACAAAATATATATACACACACTTGGAAAATGCTGCAAATTACAGGGGGTAAACCAACAGGATGATAGTAAAATTCTGCTAATGGTAGCAAAAGTACTTGGCACCTCAACATTTAAGGACCTGAATTAGCTGTCAAAAAAACTCAGGAACTCTCATCCAGCAGCAAATACCCAGGTAAGCACAAACTTACATGCAAGTACCGGACCAGTATATTTAAGAGAAATCTGTCAATATGCAAACAGTTAAGAAGTTCATTGCATGTACAGCTGATAAGTTGTCTACACAGAAAAAGGGTCTTGCTTTACAATAAAACCAAAAGAAATACTAAAGATTCCAATTGGTATTACAAGCATTTCTCAAACAGAACATTATGATTTCCTACAGGCAGATTATTTGCTGCAAGGTCAGAAACAGTAAGTGATCCACAAAAAGAGATACACGCCTCCAACTGGTTCTTCGCCTAAATATATGGTTAAAAACAAAAAACTCACACAAAGCACTGTAGGGTGGCCCATGTTGTACCAGTATCCAAAATGGTGTTTGTCACAGGAAGGCACTGTCTGAGTTTTGATGTTTGATGTCATGCAAAGTTCTAAGGGGAAAGAAAGGAAGAAGGAACAAGCACAGATACAAAACAGCAGACATGTTTCTGACACATTCATTGACTTATTTCTATTCCTGAATGAAAACTAAAATCAGCTATTGTTGCTTGCTTGATTTTCTATGCTTCAAGTATTGGTAATAATTTCCAAGGAAAAGTTTGGTAACCAGTTTCTTCTTAACTACTGGCTGTGTACAAAATTTTAGGGTGCTTGCAAACCAGAAACACTTCACAGCCTTGCACAGTTACCCAAAGTTGTAACTTAGTTTTGTTTTCATCTGAGACATTGTGTGCTGCCACAAATATGTCAAAATCTCAAAAGTGTTACCAGCACACCCTCATAGGCAATTCTCTCACATACACTGACAGCCACATTGTTCTAAGCTACGTCTGGTCAAAGACACATCAGAGATAGTACATCAGCAGTACGTATGGTGTTCTGAAATCCAGAGATCACCTAGTAATTTTCTTAACTTTAACTCTTACCAATGGGTATCTGATTCT